ATTTGCACTAAAAAAAGACACCCATTGTAGCAGCCTGGAGGATGGGCTGGGTGCCAGGGAACAGAGGAGAAGATACAGGTATTCTCAGGGGACAGCAATGAGACCCTTCACGGAGACGGAGACCGGTGTGGGTTTGTGGGATGTGTGGAGTGTTCCCTTGGTTAAACCTGACTATTGGAAAAGGGCACACAGAGGGCCAACTCAGAGAGTGACTGTCGGGGAGACGGAGCAGCTGAGTCATGGTGTGCCTGGTGCCTGGTGTGCTCGTGGGGAGCCCAGGCCGGTGGGCATGCTCGGAGGACGGAGGGGAAGCTGAGCAAGCAGGAAATCCACCTGGACCCCTCCAGAAGAGAGTGACGGGGACGAAGAGGAAGACCTCTTTTGTTTTTCTCTTCAGGTACAAGAGGCGTGAAGAACAATTCTGAGTTTTCCTATGTCTTAAGATGTGAGAAGCTTGGGAAAAAAAGAGTGAGAGAGCAAGCTAATGGAGAGTAAGATATCAAAGAGAGATGAGAAAGAATTTCAGTGTGGAAATTTCAGAATGGAAGAAGATGCTGAGGCCCACAGAGCACACCTGCACATCAACCATGAGCACCATGGTCGCCGACACTGCCCATTAACCAGAGGAGCACCTGAGAGTGTTTGCTCATAGCCAAAGGAAGTCCTTTCTGGATTTGTGATACTAAGCATACAGGCGGTCATAGTGGGCATTTCTGAGATTTATTTTATTTTTTTTTAAGATTTATGTATTTATTTGAAAGGCAGAGTTACAGAGAGGCAGACAGAGAGAGAGGTCTTCTATCCACTGGTTCACTCCCCAAATGGCTGCAATGGCTGGAGCTGGGCCCAACTGAAGCCAGGAGCCAGGACGTTCTTCTGCGTCTCCCACTTGAGTTCAGGGGCCCACAGACTTGGGCCATCTTTTACTGTTTCCCAGGCCATAACAGGGGGTTGGATCAGAAATGGAGCAGCCAGGACTTGAACCGGTACCCATATGGGATGCCGGTGCTTCAGGCCAGGGCTTTAACCTACTGAGCCACCCTGCCTGCACCCCATTTCTAAGATACGAATGTCCTGGATGGTAACCTGGCTTTTTGGAAGCCTCAGCAGTCCTGGATTTGGAAGGTTTGGATTTGACTCCCAGTTGTAAAGCTAACGCTATTGTATGAATCTTTTCTCTGTACTTTAGTTTCTACGTCTGTAACATGAGGAATTAGCATGAAACACAACTGACTGGCATGCCTCTAGCTGATTTCCCCTTGATTCTGGTACCACCACAGATCCGGGAGAAGCCACTCACCTGATGCAAAAGCAGCCCACACGGAGATGGCTAGAACAAGGGTGGGCTTTGAGAAGATCCCCTTCATGGTGGCGGGAGAGCTGGGGAAATGCGCAGGAAGGGAGAACTCTGCCTGAAGTGCAGCTTCCCACAGAGATCCTGCACGGGCCAGGAGGCGAAGCCTGAATGTTCTGTTCTGAACTCAGATCACTTGGAATGAACTGCGTCTGATACAATTAAATTGCTCAATTCGTTTCCCTAGAACAATTGGACATCAGGAAAAAAATTACCTTAACAACAGAATTTGAGGAGATGCCAAATAAAAAGAGCAAGTGAAGAATATTTGCAAGGGAGAATAAACAAGAGTTTTCCGATGAATTATTTTAAAGTTTATACTGATCTCTGAGCAAAGGGCAGTCATTGGGAAGCTCAGTGACAAATCAACAAACAGAAAAACAGGAGGGGACAAATCACTTAAATTCACTCTCATACTCTTCTTTTTTTGAGAGGCAGAGAGACTAGGGGGCACACACACACAGATCCTATCTGCTGGTTCAACCCCCAAATGCCTGCCATTGCCTTCAACTGAAGCCAGGAGCAGGGGATTGAATCCGGGTCTTCCGTGTGGGCAGCAGGATCCTAATTACTTGAGCCGTCATCGCTGCGTCTCAGGGTCTGCATTCGCAGGGAGCCGGAGTCAGGAGGCAGAGCCAGGAAGTGAACCCAGCTGTTCCAGAAGGGGACGCGGGTGTCTTAACTGCTAAGCTAAGTGCCCTCCCCCGACTGCCATAATCTTACTCTTCACAATGTTGTGACTTGGGGTTAGTACTTAGTAACCAATAAAACGATCAAAATGAAAGCCATAGAGTCTTTCCCAGGAGCTTCCTTGGCACAGTGACCCTGTTTTTGGGTTTCTGTCCTCTTCACGCTACACATTTTCCAGACACATTATCTACCCAGGTAATTTCTCCCCAAGACCTTCCTGAGTGAAAACAAACAATAAATAACGCAACATTTTTCCTACTCCAAAGTCTGCGAAGTGAGAAGTCCACTTTACCTGCTGTGACTCCCACAGTGGCTCTGAGAAACTGGCTGGGCAGGACAGTTTGTCAATATTGAAACAGCAAGAGAGGCGGGGTTCTAAGTGTCCGGCCTTGAAAGCGCTTCCAAGTTAGGAAGTGTGGACGCAATTCAAGCCTGTCAGCTCCAAGTTTTGTAACACCTGAATCTTTTGAGTTCAGATTTCAGCTTTCTGAGAGGGGTGTCCCTGTCCATTTCCATCCTGAAATCTAGCTGTTCTTGCCAAACCCAAATTTACTATCTTAAGGAATGCTACCCTTTTATACATATGGTAATTATTAAAGTCACAGAAGCTTCAGGTTGTGTACAGTGCTGTGAATGATCACATCTGCATTCGCAGCGATTGTTTTATCAGTAGAACTGAATATTCACTGTACGCAAATGTTTACTTTAGAATTTTATTGTACTGACTCATAGACTCTTAAAGTGGAAAGCTGCCTAATACAGAATCTGCCAAGTTCAGTCTCGCTTAGCAGCGCTGAGGAATTCTGGCAGAGGGTGTTCATTCCCTTAAATGGTAGCCCTTACCACTGGAATTAAAATGCCTCAAAGTACCAACAAGGCAGAGGTATGAGAGAGAGAGAGAGAGAGAGAGAGAGAGAGAGAGAGAGAGAGAGGAGAGATCTTCCATCTTCCCATCTGCTGGCTCACTCCCCAGATGTCCACAACAACAAGGGCTGGGCCAGGCTGAAGCCAAGAGCCAGGAGCTCCATCAGGGTCTCCCACGTGGTTGACATCATCTGCTGTCCTGCCCCCCGCCCCCCAGGATGTCTATCAGCAGGAATCTGTAATTGGGAGTGGGGACTCCATCCTGGGCACTGTGCTATGGGATGCAGGTGTCCTAAGCAGCGGCTTAACCCACTGTGCCACAGTGGCCTCTCTTAAAGGGGAATTTCAGAGGTTGCTGGGCATCACTAATTCCTGGGCCAAGTCCTGAATGAATGGCTTCAACTGAAGACATGCCATCTAGTTCTGGGAAGTCAAGTGCACATTCTCAGAACTTCTGTGATAGAACACAATGTCTTCAACTCTTTCGTGTGTGTGTGTGTGTGTGTGTGTGTGTGTTTAAGGCAGAGTTGGGGTGGGGGGAGAGGGAGGGAAAGAGATTCACTTTTCCTGGTTCACTCCCCAAATGGTCAGAGTGAAGCCAGGAGCCAGGAGCTTCTTCCAGGTCTCCCACGTGGCTGTAGGGGCCCAAGGACTTGGACCATCTTCTGCCGCTTTTCCCAGGCACATCTCTCTCTCTCTCTCCCTTTCCTCTCTCTGTGTAATTCTGACTTGCAAATAAATAAATAAATCTTTAAAAATATATTGTTCTTTTCTTTTTTCTTTTATTTATTTATTTGACAGATAGAGCTAGACAGTGAGAGAGAGAGAGAGAGAGAGAAAGGTCTTCCTTCTGTTGGTTCATTCCCCAAATGGCCGCCACAGCCGGCGCTGTGCCGATCTGAAGCCAGGAGCCAGGTGCTTCTTCCTGGTCTCCCATGCGGGTGCAGGGCCCAAGTACTTGGACCATCCTCCACTGCCCTCCCGGGCCACAGCAGAGAGCTGAACTAGAAGAGGAGCAGCTGGGACTAGAACCCGGCGCCCATATGGGATGCCAGTGCCTTAAACGGAGGATTAACCAAGTGAGCCATGGCACCGGCCCTTTATTTATTTGAGAGGCAGAGTTACAGAAAGAGATTCTCTGCCTGCTGATTCACTCCCAAGATGGCTGCAATGGCCAGGGCTGGGCCAGACCAAAGCTAGCAGCCAGAGCTTCTTCTGGATCTCCCACATGGGTGCAGGGCTCAAGCACTTGGGTCATCTTCTGCTGCTTTTCCAGGAACATCAGCAGGGAGCTGGATCGACGTAGAGCAGTCAGGACTCAAACCTGGAGGCTGGAGCTGCAGATGGTGGCTTAACCTGTTGCGCCACACACCTGGCCTGACTGAGGTAATTTTTGTTCATAGAAAGCAAATGAACCTTATTGGATACAAAATGGCAGTTCTCTAGAGCCCGTGTACCAGAGAAAGGATTAATCAGCTGTGGACATTGGCTGTTCTCACCCCAAGCTCCTGTAACGCCACTGCCACTTGGAGGCTGGTGAGTCTGATTCTTGTTCGAGCCCACCACCCACAACACTCGGGTGTCGCCAACTCCATCTGATGGTCACCTCTTCAAGTCTGGGAGGTGGGCAGTAGGGCGGTCAGCCTGCAGGCTCCCATGATGGTTCTTTGCTCCTCTACCTGGGACTGCCACAGCAGGACGTCAGAAATGTTCTCTGCTGAAATAGCCTCTCTGTGACTCCACACCTGTGGGATGGGGCGAGCAGGCCACGGCACAACCACTGCGCCACAGTGCCGGCCCCATGTAGCTGGATCTTGGTAACGGTGCCCAATTCCTCTTCTGAAACGTGCTGGGACTTTTGTACATTCCTCCAACACCCCCACGTACTTTACTTACACTAGGCTGAACCCCGGTGTGTCCCTCAAAACCAAGTAAGATCCTCTTAAGTTCCCCTCACAGCTTCCCTTTTGTCTTCCAATTAAACAGTGGAAAAAGTAGAAGCCAAGCAGCACGCAGAGTACTTGCCTGGAGCTCAGGTTAGAGGCATTTTTTGCATTGCTGCCTGACTGGTTTCCCATGTGAATGATAGACTCAAGGGGCTACTTGGTTTTTTTAAATTGTAAATAAATAAATAAATAACAAGGGCGGTGAAAAGAGAGTCAAAGAAAACTGGTGTTTGGTTAGTGCCTATCCTGACATGGTGTGGTATCATTAATCTTTCTATATATCATATGTTAAATATGTTAAATAAAGATACAATTCTGGGGCTGGTGCTGTGGTGTGGCGGTAAAGGTGCTGCCTGTACAGTGGAGGATGGCCCAAGTGCTTGGGCCCTGCACCCGCATGGGAGACCAGGAGGAAGCATCTGGCTCCTGGCTTCTGATTGGCACAGCACGCCGGCCATAGCAGCCATTTGAGGGGTGGACCAACGGAAGGAAGACCTTTCTCTGTCTCTGTCTCTCTCTCTCTCTCTCTCTCTAACTCTGCCTGTCCAAAAAAAAAAAAAAAAAAAAAAAAAAAAAAAAAAGAAAAAGAAAAAGAAAAAGAAAAAGAAAAAGAAAAAGAAAAAGAAAAAAGGTGCTGCCTGTAGTGCTGGAATCCCACATGGGCGCTGCTTCGAGTCTCAGCTGCTTCACTTCTTATCCAGCTCTCTGCTATGGCTTGGGAAAGCAGTAGAAGATGGCTCAAGTCCTTGGGCCCCTGCACCCACGTGGGAGACCCAGAGGAAGCTGCTGGCTTCATATTGGTCCAGCTATGGCCTTTGCAGCCATCTGGGAGTGAAAAATGGAATGGAAGACCTCTGTGTCTCTCTTGTCTCTGCCTCTCTGTAACTCTCCCTTTCAAAAAAAAGATTTATTAATTTGAAAGGCAGAGTTACAGGGAGTCAGAAACAGAGAGAGGTCTTCCATCTGCTGGTTCACTTTCCAGATGGCCGCAACTGTGCCGATCTGAGGCCAGGAGCTCCTTCTGGGTCTCTTACACGGGTGCAAAGGCCCAAGGACCTGAGCCATCCTCTACTGCCTTCCCAGGCCATAGCAGAGAGCTGGAGGGGAAGTAGAGCAGCTGGGACTTGAAGTGGCACCCATTTGGGATTCCGGCACTGTAGGCAGCAACTTTATCCGCTATGCCACAGCACTGGCCACTCAATTAATAAATATATAAATACTTTTAAAAAATACAATTCCATGTAATATATAAAACTGCTCCAGAAATTAAGTGTTTTATTTCAACAGTCCCATCATTTATAATATGTGTGAGATTTATCCATATCGTAGCATCTAACAGGGCTTGGTTGCAATGGCTGGACAAGAATGCATGCATGAATGAAAATGCTGCAGTTGGCTTATCCTTTGGTGGACAAGTGGGTTCTTTCTGCCTTTGGGCTCTGGTGCATGGTAGTGTTGGTAGAGTCAAGAGCAGAAAGTCAGAACCAGGTCCTTCTGGACCTCAGACAATGACTTTATTTATTTATTTTATTTTATTTTATTTTATTTTATTTTTGGACAGGCAGAGTGGACAGTGAGAGACAGAGACAGAGAGAAAGGTCTTCCTTTGCCATTGGTTCACTCTCTAATGGCCGCCCCTGCCGGTGCGCTGCGGCCGGCGCACCTCGCTGATCTGAAGCCAGGAGCCCGGTGCTTCCTCCTGGTCTCCCATGTGGGTGCAGGGCCCAAGCACTTGGGCCATCCTCCACTGCACTCCCTGGCCACAGCAGAGAGCTGGCCTGGAAGAGGGGCAACCGGGACAGAATCCAGCGCCGGGACTAGAACCTGGTGTGCCGGCGCCTTAGGCGGAGGATTAGCCTGTTGAGCCGCAGCGCCAGCCCAGACAATGACTTTGAAAGAGGCTCACACACACTGTAAGTGTAACTGTACAAGTTTATCACAGGAAAAGAAAGTACACTCCTTAAGGGAATAGGAGCGGCCAAGGGAGCAGAAGCTCAGAATGAGGCCAGGCCTTAGAGCCCTAGGCCTCTAAGACAAGGGCGGCTGTGCCTTTTATACGGGTGTTTGGCTGTTGTGCCAGGGGCTCTTAGAGTGGTTTTGAGGTCATCTGGCCCATAGGCCATCTGGCCATTGTCATGTCTATATACAGCTTCTAAGTGAGGATTTGCTAGGCTTGCCATGTCTTTTGTTCTCCTCAGCCTCCTCAAACAGCCCTTCTGTATCCTGCCTCAAGGTCAAGGACTGAGGGAGGCAGAGATTTGGAGAAGAGAAGAAACAGATGATGAAAAAGTTTTGGAATTTGCTTTTCTCAGCTTCCCGAGTTAGCCCTTCTCTGTCTGCTGCCTCAGTACTGCTGTGAACTGGGGTTTCCCATGGCTGCCGTGACAAGTGAACTCAAGCGCATGAAACTTTATTTTCTTCTGGTTCTGAAGGCCAAAAATTCAAATCAGCTTCACTCAGCCAAGACCATGCAGGTGCAGGGCCCAAGCACTTGGGCCATCCTCCACTGCCTTCCCGGGCTACAGCAGAGAGCTGGACTGGAAGAAGAGCAACCAGGACAGAACCGGTGCCCCTACCGGGACTAGAACCCAGAGTACCGGCGCCGCAGGCGGAGGATTAGCCTAGTGAGCCACGGCGCCAG